AGGGAGCTGATCCTGGTCCATCACCAGGGCACTGAGGAGCTGAAGTACCTGGTCCATCACCAGGGCACTGAGGGAGCTGAAGTACCTGGTCCATCACCAGGGCACCGAGGGAACTGAAGTACCTGGTCCATCACCAGGGCACTGAGGGAGCTGAAGTACCTGGTCCATCACCAGGGCACTGAGGGAGCTGAAGTACCTGGTCCATCACCAGGGTACTGAGGGAGCTGAAGTATCTGGTCCATCACCAGGGTACTGAGGGAGCTGATGTACCTGGTCCATCACCAGGGTACTGAGGGAGCTGAAGTACCTGGTCCATCACCAGGGCACTGAGGGAGCTGAAGTACCTGGTCCATCACCAGGGTACTGAGGGAGCTGAAGTACCTGGTCCATCACCAGGGTACTGAGGGAACTGAAGTACCTGGTCCATCACCAGGGCACTGAGGGAGCTGAAGTACCTGGTCCATCACCAGGGCACTGAGGGAGCTGAAGTACCTGGTCCATCACCAGGGTACTGAGGGAGCTGAAGTACCTGGTCCATCAACAGGGTACTGAGGGAACTGAAGTACCTGGTCCATCACCAGGGCACTGAGGGAGCTGAAGTACCTGGTCCATCACCAGGGTACTGAGGGAGCTGAAGTACCTGGTCCATCACCAGAGTACTGAGGGAGCTGAAGTACCTGGTCCATCACCAGGGTGCTGAGAGAGCTGAAGTACCTGGTCCATCACCAGGGCACTGAGGGAGCTGAAGTACCTGGTCCATCACCAGGGTACTGAGGGAGCTGAAGTACCTTGTCCATCACCAGGGTACTGAGGGAGCTGAAGTACCTGGTCCTTCACCAGGGTACTGAGGGAGCTGAAGTACCTGGTCCATCACCAGGGCACTGAGGGAGCTGAAGTACCTGGTCCATCACCAGGGTACTGAGGGAGCTGAAGTACCTGGTCCATCACCAGGGTACTGAGGGACCTTCCCCTCCTGAGTTAGCACCTCCCCCTCCTGAGGTAGCACCTCACCCTCCTGAGGTTAGCATCTCCCCCTCCTGAGGCAGCACCTCCCCCTCCTGAGGTAGCACTTCCCCCTTCTGAGGTTAGCACTTCCCCGTCCTGAGGTAGCACCTCCCCCTCCTGAGGTTAGCACCTCCTCCTCCTGAGGGTAGCACCTCCCCCTCCTGAGGTAGCCCCTTAGCCTTCTGAGGTAGCACCTCCCCCCTCCTGAGGTAGCACCTCCCCCTCCTAAGGTAGTCCTCCCCCTCCTGAGGTAGCACCTCCCCCTCCTGAGGTAGCACCTCCCCCTCCTGAGGTAGCCTCTCCCCCTCCTGAGGCATTCCCTCCCCCTCCTGAGGTAGCACCTACCTCCCCTCCTGAGGTAGCACCTCCCCCTCCTGAGGTAGCACCTCCCCCTAATGAGGTAGCACCTCCCCCTCCTGAGGTAGCACCTCCCCCTCCTGAGGTAGCCCCTCCCCCTTCTGAGGGTAGCACCTCCCCCTCCTGAGGCAGCACCTCCCCCTCCTGAGATAGCCCCTTACACCTCCTGAGGTAGCACCTCCCCCTCCTGAGGTAGCACCTCTCCCCTCCTGAGGTAGCACCTCCCCCTCCTGAGGTAGCACCTCCCCCTCCTGAGGTAGCACCTCCCCCTCCTGAGGTAGAAACCTCCCCCTTCTGAGGTAGCACCTCCCCTCCTGAGGTAGCACCTCTCCCTCCTGAGGTAGCCCCTCCCCCTCCTGAGGTAGCCCCTCCCCCTCCTGAGGTAGCATCTCCCCCTCCTGAGGTAGCATCTCCCCCTCCTGAGGTAGCACCTCCCCCTCCTGAGGTAGCATCTCCCCTCCTGAGGTAGCACCTCCCACTCCTGAGGTAAGCACCTCCCACTCCTGAGGTAGCACCTCCCACTCCTGAGGTAGCACCTCCCCCTCCTGAGGTAGCACCTCCCACTCCTGAGGTAGCACCTCCCACTCCTGAGGTAGCACCTCCCACTCCTGAGGTAGCACCTCCCATTCCTGAGGTAGCACCTCCCCCTCCTGAGGTAGCACCTCCCACTCCTGAGGTAGCACCTCCCACTCCTGAGGTAGCACCTCCCACTCCTGAGGTAGCACCTCCCCCTCCTGAGGTAGCACCTCCCCCTCCTGAGGTAGCACCTCCCCCTCCTGGAGTAGCACCTCCCCCTCCTGAGGTAGCATCTCCCCCTCCTGAGGTAGCACCTCCCACTCCTGAGGTAGCACCTCCCACTCCTGAGGTAGCACCTCCCCCTCCTGAGGTAGCACCTCCCACTCCTGAGGTAGCACCTCCCACTCCTGAGGTAGCACCTCCCCCTCCTGAGGTAGCACCTCCCACTCCTGAGGTAGCACCTCCCACTCCTGAGGATAGCACCTCCCCCTCCTGAGGTAGCCCCTCCCCCTCCTGAGGTAGCACCTTCCCCTCCTGAGGTAGCACCTCTCCCCCTCCTGAGGTAGCACCTCCC